TTTGAAAATAATTCTTTCTAGTGGTAGCGAACCAAAGTAGAAATTTTTAAAGCAAATGGATCTCTCATAAAACTTTTATCAGAACTTAAGAATCTAGCCATATGGCCTGCACTTTTATAAGTAATAGTGGACAAGTTACGCTAAAATTAATTTTTTTTAAATATTAAGACATTAATTTTGCTACCGTCTGAAAAGAAGATTTCTGAAACTACGGAAATTCCGTAGCAGTTGGAGGGTATGTATATATATATATATAAATTAGTAGTAAGGAAGGCAACATTAGAAACGTCGAAACTATATAGCTTGATTAAACTTGAATGGGTTTCTAATTATTGCATTTGATTTGCTTTATCATACTTTCGGCAACCACCGGGTTCTTATTAGTTATTATTTATATTTCGATAAAGTTTTTCTCTCACTTAAATATTAATTTCCAATACCTAATGTGCATACTTTTTTAACCTCTTTATCTGTAAAGATTTTAGAAACAAATACTAAAGCTGGTAATTACTAGCCCTGGGTAATTACATGGCACCTTGTGCAGTACATAATTTAAAAGGAAATATTGTTTCAAATAATATATTTTGATTAGATTAATATATTAATTTAATTTTATAATTCTAATGTATGCTTCAAAGCAATTTGGTTTGGCCCAGATGTTATAGTTTGGAGAAATTATAATGAAATATCACAACTTTTAATGAACCTCTGTTATTTTTTAGGCCGAGAAGTTGACGATGAAGATTTGACTTCAATGCTTGCTGAAGCACCAGGACCTTTAAACTTTACAATGTTTCTCACTATCTTTGGCGAACGGATATCAGGCAAATATTTATTTCATTCAATAATAAGGACTTGAAATATTTAACTCTGAGTAATAGGAGTTTGAAATATATGATTTTGAAATTTATGATTTCAAATAATATTACATTAGGGGATATTATTTTGAGGACCAGCAATTTTGAAATAATTTTAGAGGACTGAAATATTCATATTAGAATACTTTCTTAATTATAGTGTTATTGAAAAAGGTGTTATTTAAAAAGTGTTATTTAACTTCCTATAGTTTGTCTATAGTAAGAACTCCTCTCGCCACGAAGTCTGAGGCCATCTGCTGTTTTGGAAACAATAAATAGCACATTTCAAAGAGGGAAGCTTCTTTCTTCGTTGATTCTCTTTATCTCACCGGCTCAAGCCAAAACCTGTCTTAAATGACTTGAAATAGTTAAACCTAGTTACCATAGTTACCACCACTGCTCCAGATGAATGGCTGGGGAAGTTCTATACATGGACAAACTATACTCTCAGTTTGATTCATGTAAATTATGTATGAGTAGATGGGACACTATTTCTAAAAGCATCAAGCTCGATTTTTAATATTGTGTCAACAGATTTGCCATGTTCTGTACATTAGGACATTCTGTTGTACATTAGGACATTGCAATCTCTTAAAACATTTACTGCTAAAAGAGAAACTGCTTCTGTAGAGTTGATAAAGAAGGGTTTTCCTATTTTTGTCCAATCTGTACGTTAGAGTAAGCTGCATTCATACAATAATAATCACTGTCTCACTGAGTTAGGGTTGCAGACAATATTTTCGACTTACATGTAGCAATTAATTTGGAACGTGGGAGTATAATTTTAATTGTCTCTTCTCAGTCAATTAACGCAATAAATTATGCACTTAGTAATTTTATATAAGTAATTTAATACGAATGTAGTTGTATTCTATATTATACTTACTTAATATTTATTATTTAAGTTTTTCAATATTAAGTTTCTTTCTTTTATTTAACTTGACTAATACTGATTTTTAAGACGCTGAAAATTTCTTTTAACGTAAATTACTAAGAAAGAAATATCTTTTTCAAAAATATAAAAGTAGACACATGTATAACAATTAATTACCATTTTAAAAATGCTCATTGCAAAATTGTAGTGGAGTAATTTTGTCAGAAAAATTCCATGGCAATTCTACAACACCAAGCACTATATTTCTCATGGTCTGACTAGGTTTTGAATCTGATTCTCACCTTGTCGAAAAATTAATGAACAAAAGATAATGTCAATTAGAGATAATAACAAGCTTTTAGTTTATATTTAACTTTAACTATCAGTGACTAAAAGTAAATTTAACTTTGCGTTTGCACCATTGGCAGATGAGTTGGGTCCAGATGAAAGAGACCTATTAAGAATCCTATGAACTACTTTAACCCTTTAGCGCAGATGGGACACCAATGCATATATTTTTTCTGATGCTCTATATTTATAGTTTATAGTCGCTCTGTAATTTGGTCACAATGAAGGAGATCTCTTATGAATTGTATTAATTACTTTATTCCTTTGGCTTAATTGGGACACGGAATTATATTTTTCTCTAGCTCTCTGAATATATATATATATATATATT